TCTCCTCCTCTCTCTTCTTCTCTCTCTCTCTCTCTCTCTCTCTCTCTCTCTCTCTCTCTCTCTCTCGTCTTCGCCAGACGTCTTTTGTGTACGTAAGTACTTCGGCAAGTACTTACACTCTTGCTCGTCCATGATTGCACCCAAAGACGCTCGAGCTTCTTTGGAGACGCTCGCAGCTTTAATTGCGACTTCAATTCCGAATTGTCATTGAAATTCTATGTCCCGTCCGAGATTTCCGTCCTTTGTAATTTCATCGTATTAAATACAATTCAACCTTTCATATCGTTCTGTAGGTTAAATTAGCAGCTGATTAATTTGGCTGCTTTGAACGTTTTGCCAAATATTGGCCTTACGGCCAAGCCATGTAACTCACAGAAGCATAATTTACAAATGGAGTAATGCTCTCCGATGAATCTACATACACCAAAATGCAAACTTGTGAATATTTGAGTAACTTCAATTGCTCGCTGTTGTTTCTACGTTATCTTCACATGCTGTGCCACTACTGCGTGCTTTCCAAAATTATTAGAAAAAAAATTTTATTCATTCTTTCTCTTTTTCGTAGTCGAAGATATCTCATTTCTCGCGCTGATTATTCATTCGCGATTCTCATTTTCTCCCTTCGGATCCTGCCATTCATCGTCGCGTATCTTCCGTCGTGAATTAAACGAGGTTAATTCACGCGGACGTTACAAACGAGTCCTTCGACGTGCGATCGTCTATGATAAGCGAAATTTTGCTGGATACCTTCTTCAAGATTTGGAGGATTCGTTGAAGATGAAGAGCTCTAACGTCGACATTAAGAGTCCAACTTCTTCCCGGACGTCTTCGCGGACACGTAGCGCCGTACGCTCGCTCGAGTCGTCCGTGTCGTTTTTCTCTCACGAACTTTCGACTGTCCTATTTCATCCGCCTGCACTTTTCCCCCGCACGAATCTACAAGGGCATATATGTACGTAGATATACTAGCTCGCCGTTTCAATGATGAACAGCGATCGCTGAGGAACAATGAAAGTTCTACCGAATGTTCGAGGATCGAGGATTCTCCCGTATGAATACTTACGAAGAAGTATGGCCAAGCTAGGGGGAGAATCTTCCTCGGAAATTTACTCGAGAAATCCTTCCATGCGAAGAGAACGTTCTACGTAGCTGTTCCCTTCGCTGCGATAATAATCAACTGGCATTCCTATTTTGCGATAATTTAGATTACGTTGAAAAGGGATTGCAGGAAGTTAAAATAATATGAGACATAAAAATAAATTATTTTGCATGCATAATGATTTGATCATTACTTTTTCTTTATTTAATTGAGATATTTATATATATATATTTCTTGTACGATTGATAAATAATTTTCTTTTTAAATTGTTGAATTTGTAAATTCATCATTATATATCAATTCTATTAACATTAATTGGCACTAAATATACATTAACAGATTGTTTCTCTAAGTTATCTTATTTTGTATAGTGAATACTCCAAGTGTATTTTTTAATTTGTTGAGAAGAACGCATTTCTGAAGTTTGGCGCGATTTTCCTAAGGAAAAGCATTCTGTATAAGAGAAGGCACCATCGGTAAATCGGTTAAAAGGTTTTCGCGTTGAATAAAGGGAATTCGAGCAAGTTTTGGGACAGTTTGGCTATCGTTCCTGATACGATTGCATGGGAAAAGAGCTCCGAGCTTTTCGGAATGATTCTCCCTCCACTCGGAGAAAGAAGTCTGGCGCGATCTCGGGGTTTAGATGTCGTGCAGTCCGATAAGAAGATCGTGATGGTAGACGGAGGATGGGCGACTGTAGGCAGGGGAAATAGCGGCGAGAGACGGGGAAGTGGGTACGAGGCACCGGTCTCTATCTATGTTAATTACCGAGGCGAACGTAAATCACGATCGCCCAGGTGCCCGGCCGGCAAAGTAGGCAAGTTACCTCCGTCTCTCTCTCTCGCGAAACGACGTTGGTCGCGGGATAAAAGCTGTAATTAATTACGCAATTACCCGGTTCTACTTAAAGATAAAAACCGTATTTTTCGCTTCGATGCGGCTTACCGACAGCCACATTGCTCTAACCAGCTCTCGCGTTCTTCCTTTTCACTCACTCACCTCTTTTGTCTTCTTCGCTCTATTTTCCATTCGAGCCGATTTTCAAGTGGCAAATTCTTTGGCTTCTGCTGGCTGCGAACGATGCGCGTCTCCATTTTTTCGCCGGCTCGTCCTACTTCTCCCCTTCTCAGCCTCTTCTCGCTCCTCTGCTTCCTCCGCTATCTCGTAGACCGCGTATTCCTGTCGGTCTTTTTGTTACACTCGTTTTCCCGGGCATCCCTG